CGATCGTGACTATCATATAATTCAGACAAAAGTTTCGGTTGTGCAGCAATAAAAAATTAATCAAAATTTGGAGAAATTGTTATATGGCGGGAAAATGGTGAGGCTATGCAGCAGCAGAAATTTTTTCAAATACAAAAAGCGACCTGACCGACGTGGAACGATGTCACCTACCCGAAAAACAACAATTAAGCTCAAGTTTTACCCGAAAACCGAAGTTCGGTACTTAGTTGTTCAAAAGAACGAAGTGACTCAAAATGCTTGAAAATTATTAACAAGTAAATTTACAATGCTACAATTTAGAAGGTTGCAAAATCAACTAATTCTAGTCAGAAAACTTATAAACTAAGCAGAAAAACATTACTATCTCAAAAGAACATTAATTGCAGTCTTAAATTTGGAGAAATATTTCAAAAAAGTGGCGATTTGGGTGGAAAAATGTAAGGTCAAGAACCATGGCGTCATTTCCTTTGGACCATTGAATCCGGAATTAAGCTGCATGTAAAATTCAACCTACAAAATATGAGATACAAAACCGAAAAAAATCAGATGTACCACCCATACGTGTTTTACAATTGGTATCGAAAGTTATGGTTGCGGGTGTTTTTCTGCGCGTGGCTTGAAAACATTTCATAGTATACAAGTATAGCACATATCCAGGTAAAGAATTTTATAGTGAAAATACAACCTAAACACTTTGATAGCATGAGAAACAAGGAATTTTTTCCAAATGTTAGTCAGTACTTTTCCTGCAGGATGGTGCTGCAAGTCACGCTTCAAAAATGACCATGGCGCAAAATGAAGGGCGGGGTAAAACGGTTTGGGGCAATGGGGTGTGGTCTACTAAAAATCCGGATGTGGGTGTTTTGGATAACCAATGGGCAATACTGAAGTAAGATATGTACATGGATCCAAAACCATGCTCAACAGCAGAGATAACAACGAGAGTCAAAGAAAAGTGTAATTTCATACCAAAAATGACTTTGGAAAAATCATCATAGAGTTTCAACAAAAGCGATGAGGAAATTGTTAGGGTGAATTGTTGAAAGACCAAATACTGGGGTATGTGTTGAAAAAAACTTGGGTTCGCAAAGTCACACGGTTTTGAAGAATAGGGTATTATTCTTTTGAAAGAAAAAGTCGGGAGATACATTTGGGCCACCCTTTATGTACATACATACATACTATGTACATTTGTTTTCTGTAATTCGCGGTTTTACACAAAATGGAAACCTGGTTATTTCAAAATTTAAAAAATCGAAATCGGATTAGCAACATATTTCAATTTTTTAATGCCTTACTTTACATATATACTTAGTGGGGGCAGGCTAAGTGTTAGTAGAATGAAACGCCATAGCTTCAACAGTTTTTGTGATACAATTTTCTAGTTAATTTTATTGGAAAGCCAGCTAATTTCTGAGTACAACACAATTTTTAGTTTTCGAAATTTCTTCTCCCGGCATTAACTCAGCGCTGAGAAGGCGGCCGCCAGCTCTCGACGAAACTACGCACTGAATCCGTGGACAAATTGTCTCATTCCGTGGTCAAAGATTTTTTTAAAGCCTCCAAACTTCTATGAACCTTAGAACACACCTTTGCCCCTAACTTTGACCGTTTTTCATAATCCGAGGATTCAAATCCAGCGAGGAGGATGACCAGTCCGAAGTAGAGATAAAGTCCGCAATTTGTTTTTTAGTCACGCTTTTGCAATTTTTCGCACTATGAGCTGGTGCTGAGGCCTGTGGAAAGGTCTAATCGATTCTATTGAACTGGATCCCATTGAGGGGATGTACCACGGACTCAAAAACGTATTTTAAAAAATTGGATTCCATCACCTTCCCTCCATCTGTGACGAAATGATGAGAAATTACCCCCAATCAGCTTGCAATAGCCAAAACCTTCACAAAACCTGGATCATGTGAACTTTTGACCTTCTTCTTTATTGGGGGATATCTTGGACAGATTCTGGGTAGACAGTGTATTTTTTTTGTTAAAATATTTCCTCACAGTTGAAATCTCCTCATCTGTAAATAGAATCCTCTTAACCTTTTTGGCGCGTACCGCCTGAGGAGAGCCCTTCATTTCTTTAGTAGGGCTTTCCTTGTGGGTACCATCAAGAGGTGTCAAGTACCACATTTCAAAGCCTTACGCCTAAGGTTCAGTTTGAGTACTCATTGGGTAATCTGCATCAACAATGTCAGCTGTGAGGCTATTTTCCGTTGGAATTTCGAGAATTTCTTCGGATTCTGTCCTTCAACGCCTTCACGATGGGTATGGTCCTTGTAGGTTTTCCAAAAAATTTCTTCGACTGTTCTCAGTGGAACCGGTCCCCATGAACGTTTTTACAATCCGCTGGATTAAATTAAAGTCCACATTCGGTTCCTGTCACACTTCTCAAATTCGCTATTTCTTTTTTCATTTTTTAGTGGAAAATTATTGCCACCCGCTTCCTTTCAGTATTTTCCCTGCTAGTATTCTTTGCAAGTTGTTAAAAACTCATGTGAGGTATTTATGTAAAATCGCCCGAGGAATTCAATGCGCTTATCAGATTTTCATTATCTCCAGAGGTTTTAAAGTTATTAGCTATTAACACTTAGCCTGCCCCCACTAAGTACATAAGCGCCCCCTTGTTAGTGTAATCTTTACAATTTTAGCATGGATAGTAAAATAATTTGCATTTGTCCGGAAACCTTTCTTGATCTAAATTCCCCTTGCAAAAATGCTGGCAAAGAAGGCATTCGAAATATTTATGTGTTCGATGAAAAATTGCATCGGATGGGCGCCGTCGCGATCAAGCCATGCAACAGCAAACATATGGACAGGCTCGGTCGCTGTAAATGAAAGACATATATACCTGATTTATTAAAAAGTAAACTGTCACGAAATTTAAATTTTAAGATTTTTGATCAGTTTCTGACATTATTACACAGACTACTGTTAACTCCTAAAGTTTCTGAAGGAACATGTATACTCAAATTCTTAATTCAGACTAAAATTTGAGAAGGAACCGAGCTCTTAGCTGGATACAGATAAGATCCGCGACTTGTGCTCATACATATGTATTTGCGAATTCCGATACAAGAATAATGCAGCCTGCATAATACTGGTATGCTTATTTTTTGCGCGACGAAAATATAATTGGTATCATTAGTAACAAGAACGAAGACCGGAATAACTTCAAACCTAACAAATTTCTGAATACAGCGGTGGTAGTCCGGCGTTTCTATTGTGCTCCTTCACGGAGTGAGAGCTGAAATCTAGAGAAATCTACGATTTTTAGCTCAAAGTCAATACTTTTGAAAAGCGTTTTCGCCAAGAGTTTTCTAATTTGTGTCCCTACAAGCTGTTTTTTGAACGTTTGAACGTTTTTCAGAATTTCGTATTAGAGCCTGGTATTAACGTTTTCCATTTTCCATGCACACGAAAGCCCCAGACGTCGGTTTTCTCAAAAAAATACGTTTTTTTGTCAATTCTTTTGTGTTTAAGTTTGATACGAAAATGAATCTCTTTCAGGAGCACATGTGCCAAAAATCAAATTCTCTTTCTAAAATGTGGTATTTCATGTGAGGACTAATCCTGAGTATTTTGTTCCTTTAAAGCCCAATGAAACCCCAAAAAAAACATTAGAACCAATTACTTAACCCGTATAAAAATCATGTGGCGACTTCTGCATAATACGGCACACTTAGTCGGCATAATGATTAATGCATAAAAAATTGTGAATAATTCTGCATAAATTTCTGGAGAGTATATTCTGCATAAAAGTTTATAAACCGATATTTTTATGAAGAGACTTTTCTTTATACAAAGCTTATGGCTATAATTATCTCTTGTGTATAGAAAAACCTTAGCATAATTATGCATAATCCTGCACAGTTTATGCACAAATCACGCTGCATAAATTTGTGTGCATAAAATTCAGCCAAATTGCTGCATAAAATCCTTTAAAATTTTTATACGGGAAAGCTCCTAGGCTGTTCTTTTTTTATTAAAACCCTCGGTTTTGTTAACCCTACAAGAAATAAAAAAACTGCACCAATTCCAACGTTCAAAACAAGGATTTGAAACTCAAGTGTGTTCAAACTAGAGGTGAGTCGAGCAGCGGTTTTCAAAAGCTCGGCTCGCTCAAGCTCGGTTCGCAACAAGCTCGATAGAAATCGGCTCGCTCAAGCTTGGCTCGCAAAATGCTCGAAAAAGCTGGGCCCGCTCCGCTAAGTTAAACCTTGGGGAGCACGAGCATACTCGGTTCAACTGAGCATTTGGCTCACCTCTAGCACCCCACTGCTGATTTTTCGTATTTTTAAAATTTTTATTTTTAGAGAAAATTATGTTTTTAAACAATTCAGAAACTTTTATTAATATTAAACTTTGAAATTTTAGTTTGAATTAAACCTTCAACCTCGACAATGCTCTAACTCCTTATCGATTATTCATATTTATCCATATTTCTTCTTCCTAATTTGGTCATGTCCTTCCCGAGTAAATCTCTTTACCTCAATATCCAACTCTGAAGAATATGGCTAGTTCCATTAGTTCAGCTAGTTGGTTGTATTGACTTAAACTGTAGAATTACAAAATTTCTACAAAATCGGTGTATTACACTTCAAACCATCACATTGTGAGTGAAATTCTGTTAATGCTTGGTTTCATCTCTTGGTTCTTTCAAATGTTACACCATTTATCTACATACAAATTTAAATTTCCGCGAGATTTATCATTTGCACTTTCAGTACGAATATAAGTTTTAGCAATAAAATAATTGTTAAGCTCATTAATTTTTGGACAATGCATATGCAAAGTGCTCCTGAAATGCATAATATATAATAGCAGGTTTTTAACGGAATTTTTCTCATGAGGGAAGGTTAGGGGCGCAAGAAAAATTTTGCCTAGGGCGCACATATGCCCAGTCCGGGCCCTGTCTGTAAGTTTATGAAAATTAAACATTGTCAATATGTAAATATTGATTTATGTAGATATAGTCCGAAATCAATTTGACGTAAAAATTAATTCCCCAAGGTCATTTATTTTTGTCTAAAATTGTTAGTTGTTTGCTAGTTAGACAAAATTTGGAATTAAATTTGAGTCATTAGTGGGATAAAATAAAACCAACCACGAGCAACAATGTCGATACAAAAGTGCTGGACATTAGTGATCGGGCGCAAGCCTCTGTGGTGGGCGGTTCCGTAGTTGGGCCGGTAGTTGGTACGGTTGTAGTTGGTCTAGTCGTGGTAGGGGTTGTTGTAGTTGGTGGAGTGGCCGTAGTAGTTGGTGGAGTGGATGTAGTAGTTGGTGGTTTGGCCGTAGTAGTTGGTGGTGTGGCCGTAGTAGTTGGTGGAGTGGCTGTAGTAGTTGGTTGTGTGGCCGTAGTAGTTGAAAGAGTAGTTGTAGTTGGCACGTTGGTTGTAGTTGGTCCACTGGTGATTGGAGTTGGATCCGGGGTCGTTGCCGCTTCTGTAGTCGTGACCGCATCAGTAGTCGTGGCCGCATCAGTAGTTGTAGCCGCATCAGTAGTCGTGGCCGCATCAGTAGTCGTGACCGCATCAGTAGTCGTGGCCGTATCCGTAGTCGTGGCAGCCTCTGTGGTCGTGACTACTTCTGTGGTTGTAACAGCTTCTGTTGTCGTTGTAGGTTCGTCAGTAGTTGGTTTCCGAACGCACACGGGCAACTCGTTCTGCGCTGGTTCGCTTTGCATAAAGTCGTCAAACACGAAAGACAATGAGTCCAACATGGCAGATCCTCCGTTCGGCTCGAGAACGATTTGGAATTTCTGGCAAAATTTGTCAATTTAGTTAAAGTGGAGGAAGGGAAATAATAGTTGAGGTGAGATCATGACCAAAATTGTCCCATATACTTCCCGTTGCAGAAATTTATCAGACATTATTGTGATCTGTGTTGTATCGATTACTTAATAAATCATACTCACAATTCTACCAAAAATAGGTCTACTAAAAAAATAATTTTTATACACTATTACCGATACCGATTTCATATTTAACTAGAAAACCTTAAAATAATTATCAGAAAAATTCTATTCCTTTAAAGTAACAAAATTCATGGAAATATTTCGTTAAGTAATTTTGTAATAATTATTCATTTCTCATAAATACTTACATATTTACATAATTCTTGCAGAATATCGAAAACCAATTTTGCAAAATTTTATAATTTTACTGTGGAATTAAAAACAACTTACATGATTCCTGTACGGTTTCAAGTCGACCGTATAATCCAGCCATGATCCCAGTCTAACCGATTTAGTGTGGATTGTTGTGTACGAAATATTTGTGCCTCTTCCGGTTACGGCAGCGACCTTGATTTGGCCTTGGTCTGAAATATAACCTTTGATCTCGACCGCGGATGGGATGATGCTTGGACTTGTCCCGTACTCAATTTTGCATGACCTTTCCTGACACGGGGACCAATATCCGATCCCGGCTTGATCCTCTTCCGGTTGGATCGGACACCCGAACGCCCAAAAGTCAGAGTAATCGTCGAGATGTTGGCAATCATCGTAAGTCCAATGTTGCGAGACCTCATCGGCTCTCTTGTCGATGGATATGGGAGAAATTGGGGCGTCTCCGAGGTCAACGACGATCTTATCGATTAGTACGTATCCGCCAGATGGGGCACCGGAAACGGTGAAGTTAATCACCTGCCAAGAAATTGGGCAAAAAGTAAAATAATGAGAATTTTCCAATTGTTTGTATGAAATATATTTATAGCAAATTTCTAAACACTCTAAAGCTCTAAAACATACTTATCTCGATACCTGATAAGATGTTAATACAAATGATAAGAGCGCATATTTATGTACTTTACATTTTCATAATTTTGATCAATAATCAAAAAAATTTTGACGTCAAATTCGTAAAAGTTGTAAATTTTTGAAACAAGATGCACATTTCTTGCAAGCAATCCAAACTTATTAATACAAATTTTCACGACAGTTACAATATTAGCATTTAAAGGATAAGGCATTATCTACATTTAATTAGATAAGATAACACTTCAATTGTGTGAATCACATCATTCTTAATTTCCACATTTTTTTAAACGCATTGATTAATAGATACCTAGAATAGTACAAACTGTGAGATTCACCTAAAAGAAATCTTCAACCTATTATTTAAAAAAAACGAAAAATATATATCAAAATTCAAAGTACAAAAATTCTAAAAAAAAACATTTTTAGCTTCTCGTATTAAATTTGACCACATTACTTTCTCTATCCAACACTTACAAAATAAAAAAATTGATTTTACAAAGACATGCATCTCCTCACAAATATATTTTTTTCTTGAGATACAAATGATTCGTTAAAACCAAAATCACTCCAAAATACGAAAAATCCAATAAACAATAAATATATCAAAATTTTCAAAAATATCATTCCAAAACATCTCCCACTTACGGCTGAATCCTGTCCGGGAACGTTCGACAAATCAATCTCCTCATAACACCAAACCTCCTCGTTCGAATCGATATATCCAAATTCCCACGTTGAGCCCCCCTCCCCCGGGGAACTTTTACCCGATACCTCAATCGACGCTGGGGTACCCGTCATATACGTCGCCACCCACAATTTGGCCGGTTTCGGTAACGAGCCCCCATGGTAAATCAGACTGCATCCGGTCCCACATCCCGTCCAGAAACCCATCTTATCCGGAAATACGTCCTCCTTTGGGTCCCGGGGGCATCCGTACACCCAAAAATCGGCATAATCCTCCTGATAAGGGCAAGAAACCGAGGCTACTTGCCCAATATCGGCGGCGTTATCGAAAACGACCTGAACCCCGGTAACCGTGACGACCAAAGTGGTCAAAAGGCCGACAAATTTTGGTAACATATTGGTAACAAAGCTGGGATTGACCACACCTTAAACTTGACTGAATAAACTTGCTATAAATACGCACACTTGACAATACTTCAGTCCCGTGAGTAAGAGAGAGAGGTGACGAAATTTTATCACCCGAGGTGACCAAGACAATTGACATTTTTTTGTTAGATAAGCCCCCTCGATCGATAAGTCACTCAATCATTGGTTCTGGAAAGAGTATCGTGCGTAAATTACAATACCTTTCTTGTGTATTTCTGGATATCGTGTGTATAGTCTTTAAAATAAACGGGACAAATGATACGATTCCAATATTTAGTAATGGGTTGAACCAATAAAAAACGGGTTTGACTTTGATCGATTAATCATAGTATGCAAATAATTGTTAAGATACACTCTTAAAAGTAATGTTACCCATTCATAAATTAAATGCACTCTAAATGCCATCCTCTCCTTAATATTGGAGTAAGAACTGATTGACTTTGGATCAAAATAGCAACACTATTTTTAAGAGGGTAACAATACCAGATTATTGTATTTGTACGAATAAAATACTAAAATTTATTCCACAAGAAATGATTGACATCACAAGTTTTTATCTATTTATATTTACCAATGATCATTAAAAAATTGGGTAATCTGCACTCGCAAATCTTCCTTATTCGCAGCACTCCAATTCCACCCGTGTCCTCCGGGATACACGGTAAATTTATTGGTGACGTTAAACTCGGTCAATTTCTCGCGTAAAATGGGCATCTGTGTCGATGGAACGAGAAGATCCAACGTTCCATAGAAACCGATGGTTGGCGGGGAAACGGACGTGGCATAGGTAATCGGACTCGTGGCGTTGTAGAGGTCGGGGCATACTGAGAAATGGCATGGTCCAACGAGTGAGTAGAATAGTTCGTCATAGAGCGTGTTTTCGACGTAGGAAGGGTCAGTAAGGTCACCCGGTCCGACGTGGGATACCACTATTTTGACGAGGTTATCCGAAGTTTGATAAGCATAGAGCATCGAGAGGTGTGCCCCGGCCGATGTGCCGAACAAGGCAAAGGTGACCGGTTGAGTGAACGTGTTGCTAAGATAAGTCAAGGCGAGGGAGATGTCGTCGAGTTGTTTGGGGAATCCTGGGCTTTCGTGAGTTCCTGAATGAAAATTAGTATTTTTTTTTACAAATCGAGACAAACCAAAAAAAAAAAAGATTTCACAGAGTAAATTTGTATAAAAATTTGTGCCCCATAATTATCAAAAAGTAGGGAAAAATAATACGTGTAAAAGTAATTTTTATGTTGTCAGACAAATTTTGTGTAGTACTGTTCCTTAAAAAAATGAAGACACAAAGAAATCTGAGAATTTATCTGGAACAATTGGCTTTTTGCAAGAATCTAACCTTGAAAAATGTGTCTTTGACTTTTATCCCTATTTTTTAAACGAACCTTAGGATTCGAAGCTGAAGTAGTTTTTTTGGTTAAATGAAATTTATAATTGAGATATGCCACTATTGTATTAGTTTAAAAAAATGTTTTTGCTGAATAATATAAAACCAAATTTTTTGGAAAATTTAAATTACCTAATCTGTAATCCATATTTGCGATGCAATAATCAGGAAAGTCTCTCTGTATAAACGGGATGAACTCGAGCATATCAGCCTTCTGACCACCACCCCAGGCACCCCCATGGATCAGGACGACCACCTTCGTCACTCGCGTCGTGTCGGATGAGGGAAGGTAAAGATCCATAATTTGTTCCGGATCGGAGCCGTACGGAACATTAGGAATAAGGAGACTTTGTCCTATCAAAATTTTAAAAAAAGTTAGACATTTAATAAATATTTTGAAGATGAATATACGAAAAATCTTTGAACTTTTAAAATACAAATGTACACATGTACCTAATGTTTTTTAAAGAAGTCCAAATTATATATTTTTAGAAAACGTGAACAAAAAAATCAAAAAAAAATTCGCAAAATTTGACTCTTCAAATTTAATTCTATGAATTTTTTTTCATGCGTGGTAGAATAATTTCAACCGATTGAGTGATACACGTGCAAAGTCTGTATCAATTATTTGATTAAAATACCCTTTTTAATGAAGAATTAAAAGTATTAACTGATAGTTTTTTAATTAAAATGCTAACTAAAAATTAAAATTGAATTTGTATTTGCATGTTCCAAATAACTTACCCGCAACATTGGACTTTTGTAGGAGTAGAACAAATGCGACTAATTTTATGAGAAGTGACTCCATCGCGAGACTGGTGAGAACAAGAAGAGCTTCAAAAGTAACCTAACTCGGGAACAATTGCTAAAAACGACTTTGTATGTGAGGGTTATATAAGCCTCGTTTGACTGCTTATCTTGTTTTTAATAAGTATTTACATATTCACAAATTAATTTATTGTGTGAGTGAGTCGTCACAATTAGCTTGTTTGTCGATTAATTCGCGTGACCCCCTCCTTCGTGCCGAGATTCATAACTAATTACGATGACGAACGGGACATGACTTTGCAATTTTGTAAGTCATGTAAAATTTGCAAAATCATCCAAAATGTGCAAAGTCATGGACTTGGTTATGTATGTAAATATGTCTGACCCTTACCTACATATGTAGGCATCTACTCTTCGCCCAGTATTATTAGTCGTACAAACTTCTGAGAGTTTACCTGGCAGGTAAAATAAAGTAGCTTGGGTGTTAACAGTTTCGAAATTTTACAACACTTTTGCAATTATTGCCAGTGACGAAATTATTAAAGTAATATGTATTAAGCGACATCTATTGCGAAATATGTAACTTCTGAGAAAAATTATCAGACTTTTGCGACTAGTAACAATGGACGGACAGTAGTTGCAAAGTTTGCAAAAATACGAGTTTCTTAAAACACTTAATTTTACATGGTAATTTTGGCATTATCGGAAGAAACGAGTGTTTACTTTCTCTGTATAGAGGTGAATCCCGCATTGGTTTTATGGATTACGACGGATTACCAATTGATTTATGAAAAATTTTCTTGCGATTGAGATTACTTTGCTGGTTTCCAAGTAATCTGTGGTGTCGTGCATCTTGGATTACGGGACCATATAAATACATGTGTTTTTGGATCAGGGCTTGCCGATTACAGTAATCTGATTAAAGATTGTTTTTTACATGTCAAGAAATACGCTTTCTAATAATTTCGTAGACAAAGTCGGTCCAAAATATCAATAAACACATGATGACATAAATAACATCTCGACAGCAAAGTAATCCAAAAATGTAATCCATAATCCGATTTTAGTCGCCATAATCCAGAAAATTTGGATTGCTAATTGGAGTACATGACGGATTATCTATTTAAAATTTTAAATGGGATTACGAGATTACAGATAGCACTCCTGTAATATCACATTCCCGATTACGCAAACACATATACATATGTAACACAAATTAGAAACAAAACAAAATTAAATATATGCAGCATTAAAAAACATATTATACAAAATCCACCTAATTAACGAGCCCTGTGTCATACTTAATTGTCTTACAAAAACCTCGAATTGACCATTACAATGGGTATGTTAATACTTATCATGTCTGGGTTATCGTGTTCAAATTAATTGAATTGCAATTCTATTGTCCAAGAATTAATTCATTTTTACACCCGAACTGTTGAGCATTGATTACGCCAGATCCAGGGAATTTATCTCGTCATAAGTGTCAATCGTGTTGGTCCATTTAATTGATTATATTTCGGACAGGGTTTCAACCACTCAAAACTCAGCACCTCACAATTAAAACAAATATTTTGCAAAACGATAAAATTTCGACATGCGGGTAAAATATTTTTTTTAGTAGAGCACACTTAAAAACAATACTACCCTTTTTGAAAAGTATGTAGGTAAGTGCACCCTTATCTGAGTTCTAAATAAGACATATGTACATATCTTAAATCCAGAGTAATGATAACATGATTCTGAGTAAAGCTTACTCTGCATTTCGTGTATTTAAATTAATTTGAGTTTGCATTTACTCGTCCAAACTGATAACTCAATTTTTTAGAGTGTAGATACGACATTTGTTAAAAAACAGATCCGTCAATTTACAAAAAAAACACGTTACGATTTGCAGAAAAAAACACGAAATCAACGAACCCTAATTTTGTCCCCGTGTAATCTCTCTCGATCAATTTATTCGATATGATCACTCCGTTAATAGGTGTGATCCAGTCAGTTAATTAATTTTCCTCCCTGGCAACAGAAATGTTCAAGTTTTTTGCATTATTGGCCACCTTGGTCTTATCTGCGACCGGGGTTCAGGTCGTTTTCGACAACGCGGTCGACATTGCGCAAGTAGCCGACATTTCCTGCCCTTATCAAGATGATTACATGGATTTTTGGGTGTATGGTTGCCCCCGAGAGCCAAAGGATGACATTTATCCGGATAAGACAGGCTTCTGGTCGGGATGTAAGACCGGATGTAGTCTAGTTTACCATGGGGGCTCGTTACCAAAACCGAGCAAATTGTGGGTCTCGACTTATATGACGGGATTCCCTGCATCTATTGAAATTTCGGGTAAAAGTTCCCTGGGGGGAGGGGAGTCAGAATGGGATTTTGGATATATAGATTCCACTGAAGAAGTCTGGTGTTATCAAGAGATTGACTTGGCCAATTTTCCCGGACAGGATGCTGCCGTAAGTGGGGGAGATTTTCTGAAATTAAATTTTTCTAAATTGGGATTTATGGAAAGTTCATATTTTGGGTACCGATTTTGGGTTTTGGAAGAAGTTTGTATTTCAAGGGATTATAATTGGGAAGAGTTTTATTGCTTATAAAATACATTTTTGCATTTAGTAATATTGTCGGGGATACAATTTTGTAGTCCAATTATTTTGGAGGATTTAACAGGATTTGTTTTTTGTAATTTGAATTTTCAGTTTTTTAAAATACTTTTGTTTATAAAAGTTCGGGATTTTTTAGGTGAAAGTTACAGAAATTTTATGCGTTTTAAAAATATGTGGAAATTGTGAGTCATACGCGTAAGTCACTTGATTCGAGTGTAATCTTATCTAAATGTAGATAAAATCTTGTCCATTAAAGGCCAACGTTGATTTACTATTGTGACAAACTGGTAGCAAAATTAACATTAAGAACACAATATTTTTTTTAATTCTATATTTTCATTAATTTTTTACATTTTAAACCAAATTTTCATTTAGTCTGTAGCAGCATATGCACTAAATATTTCAGGAACTTAGGATATTGAAAATTTTAAAACCTTGTATCAATTTGCTTATATGCATCTTCTTAAGGCTCTGTACCAACTTTAAACACCCAAATATATTTTTGACCTTAGTTACCTAATTAATTCTAAAATTATATCCCCCCCTGGAAAAATGGGGCAAGCAAATTTGGAAAAATTAAGAAGTCAAAAATCAATGAACTAGGAAAAATAAATAAGAACTAGACCCAAACTTGCTTTTTACCTTCGAATTGCCTTATGAATGCGAACATTTTGATGAATTCAAAGTTTCAAAATTAGAAAATTTGAGTTTTTTTCAATACATAAATCTTATTTACTACTTGACAACTAGTCGGATGCAACTTTTCGAAAGACGTTCCTGTCGATATTAAAGTATTTTGCAAGGAATTTTGAGTTAGAAGTTGTAGCTAATATAATGGCCGAGGTGGATTAATCAGTGAGAGACTCCAAAAAACTTCCAAAATTTTGATATTTATGAAATACGAGTGCGTAATTGGGTCAGTGCTAAGTTTCCTGAAAGAAAAACTGTCCAGCGCAATTTTTCTGGGTCTATGACCTATTATACCATCTGCGCCACACTATTTTCCACCGCTATGAACAAGAATTATTAAAGTAGAACTGCCCTAAAATTTGTGAACGTCTTTTGAATTTTTTAAAACATTAATGGCTGTTTTATTTTTTTCTCAAAGTTGGTGGTACTGGGTGGTATCATATTTCCATTAAAAAATATGCTGATAAATTTGTCATCAAAGCTTTTTTTCTAAAATATGCTATCACGCTTCAGTCCCAAGAAATTTGGGTAGTAAGGGTACTTAAATACCTTGGTGAATTACTGGTACAGAGCCTTAATTTTAATTTATCTTATTTATTGCCCCGTTTTTTTTTTTTAGCAAAATTTGCATTTCCATGTTCATTTAAGCATTTGATAAATTCATACACTAGGTTTTATTAAGATTAAGAAATTGACAAATTTATGTTATTTTAATATTTGCCTTATTTTTTAATCCAGGTGATAAATTTCACCGTTTCCGGTGCCCCGTCTGGCGGATACGTGCTAATCGATAAGATCGTCGTTGACCTCGGAAACGGTCCAATTTCTCCCATCTCCATCGATAAGAAAGACGATAAGGTGGCGGAACATTGGAGTTACGATGATTGTCACCATCTCGACGATTACTCCGACTTTTGGGCGTTCGGATGTCCCATCCAACCGGAAGAAGATAAAGCTGGGGTTGGATATTGGTCCCCGTGTCAGGAAAGGTCATGCAAAATTGAGTACGCCACGAGCCCGAGTATCATCCCATCTGGCGTCCACATTAAAGGTTATATATCAGACCAAGGTCAAATCAAGGTCGCTGCCGTAACCGGAAGTGGCGCAAATATTTCCTACACAGTAATCGACACTAAATCCGCAAGGCTTGATTCGTGGCTGGATTTTCCGGTCAATTTGAAACCATATAGGAATCATGTAAGATGTTTTTTTTTATCTATAAAATTATGAAAAATTTTGGTTTTCAATATTTTGAATGGTTTTAAATATTTATCAGAGAAAGAAGCATCGATAAAATATTTGCACCATCTAAATACGGATTGTTCAGGCAATAATATGAGTCTCAATTTGTTGCAAAATTTTATTAGCAGTTGTTTTGTTGCTGTTTGTTACGGTAAATAACCTGCCAGGAAACCTTTAAGATTTTTTTAGGATGTATTTTTTTGCTTGAACGTAATTACTAAATAGAATTTTTTAAGTTCTGGGTCCTAGTTTTTGAATTGAATACCGAACCACTAAAGTTTTTTAAACAATCTTCTGATAAATTTCTGTAAAATATAGGCATTTTTTACGGGGTGGGGGGACAATTCTGAATATAAATTCTTCATATTCTCTGAACACCCTAATTTAATTTGAAATTTTTTTTCAAATTTGGTCAGAAATTCCAAATCATTCTCGAGCCAAACGGAGGAGCTGCCATGTTGGACTCGTTGTCCTTCGTTTTTGACGATTTTGTGCAGAGCGAACCTGCGCAGAACGAGTTGCCCTTGTGCGTTCGTAAACCACATTCAGAGCCTCCCACGACTACCACGCCCCCACCGACGACCACGCCACCACCAACGACCACGCCACCAGCGACCACCACCCCGAGCGAAGGTACTACCGGTGGACCAGCACCGTCCCCTGGACCTTCGCCTTCCCCAACGACCACCGAACCGACCACCACCACGGCGGGTACGGTAAAATCCGGGACGCCCAGCTATGTCGTTTCGATTTTCTTAGCCGCATTCATTTTATCCCGATAATTTTTAAAACAAATTTAAATCTTGTCAGATTAAAAAACTTGTGAAGAAAATTGAATAAATTTGCGAGGAAAAAAATTTTGTGTAATTTTGACTTTTACATTTGACCAGCTCACCAAATTTTGTAAATTTTGAGAGGGTACTTTATTATCGGAAATGTAACAACATTTTGCAATTCTTGCATGTAATTGAACAGATGCATGAATACATACATATGTACATTTACATATTTGCGTGTCGTTCTACTCACAAATGGATATCGTTATCTTATCAGAAAATTGTTGTCATCCAATTTCACATGCTTGCTTAACTTACTTAATTAAGTCAGGTTAATTGAGTATCAGGCTTCTTCAGTAATTAGTTAAAAGTAAACAGACCAAGCTTGAAACGTATCTTGAAAAATTCATAGCTCCAATATTTTCTATGAACTTGTAAGTACAAAATATTTTATTGCAAATCCAAATTTCGCATGCATAAAACAACATGGAACACAGATTGCAATTTATCCAGTCGAAATTATATGAATACAAAATTTGACAATTTTTTTGGTGACATTTTTATGACATTTTTTTTCGTAAGACGACCTTCGCTCCACAATTTACCCACGTGTTTATGTATTACTCATCGGGATTATTTCCTAACTAATTTGATTAATGGGATGCGAAGAAGGTGACGTGAGTTTGCCAATTGTGCAAATCGATTGCATTGTCCCAACTAAACCAGGATAAATTGTCATCTACACATTCGCACTTCTCTGCAACATAATTTGTCACTCTTCTGACTTACTGATCGATTCTCTGCTTATCTGAGGATGAATGAGCAAAACAAAAAATGTCAATTGTCTCGGTCACCTCGGGTGATAATCAACCGTTACAACATATGTAACAAAAGAGTGAAACCAAGACGTGGCGTATAGAGATATACTGTCCGGTTGATTGAAAGTTTCTTTCACCATTCCTAACTTTTAAAGTAAAAATTAAGATCAATATGGATTCGGGGTTAAATTTCCTATCAATTTGGCTTACACATGAAATTTGACCCTACGTTGACTTTTCGTTGAACGTGACCTTTCTGACCTTGTCGGGTGTACCATATTCAAGCTCTCAATGCACCTGAATTTAGTAATTTACGTTGAAAGTTTTAAGGTTTTACATACGTATTTTAATTCACGCGTTACTAGACCAGCCGCCGGACGGACAAACCGATCTTATAAAGGGGCTTCACCCCCGAAATACATATTTTACGTCATCTCACTCCGTCTCTGTCTCACTAAATAAAAAACCTTAATTAGCATTCTACTTCAAGGTGTGGTCAATTCCAGTCCAGTTGTAAAAATGCTGCCAAAAATTTTCATAATTTTCGCCACTTTGGCCATCTCCGTGTTCGGGGTTCAAGTCGTTTTTGACACAGCGGACGACATTGCTAAAATCCTTCAAGTTTCCTGCTCTTATGCGGATAATTACGCCGATTTCGGGGAGGACGGTTGTACCCGGGAGCCGGAGGAGAACCTCTTCCCCGAAAAGACGGGGTACTGGACAGGTTGCGAGACGAGTTGTAGTCTGATTTATTACGGAGGCTTGTTGCCAAAACCGCAAAAATTATGGATTTCCACGTACATGACGGGTAGTCCGGCTTGGATTGAAATTTCGGGTAAAAGTTCCCCCGGTGGGGATGAAGGGGACGAGTGGACGTATGGGTATATAGATTCAGATCGGAATGGCTGGTGTTATGAGGAGATTAATTTGGCAGCTTTTCCCGGACAGGATGCAGCCGTAAGTGGGAAATATTTTGATGTAAAATTTAGAATGATTTGGGTGATGATTTTGATTTTTGTAAGTATTTTTTCGTAAGAATGTTTACAATTACATAAAAAGTAGCATTAAATTTAAGCGTAAGAGTAATTTTAAAATTTAAAAGTTTTGAGTCTTTTGATCTCAGAAAACTTGCTTTGGGGTTTAAGTAGCTAATAAAGTTTGGGGAAACGCTTGGAGTTCTTGAAGTTTTTTTTTTTTTTTTTTGGAGAGTTTTTCAAAATATGTAAATTTATCCCAAATTATGTATCTATGTATGAGTACTAAATTGAAAATATATCTACCATTTTTCTGTGTTTTTTGATACTTTCTATTTTTACCAATTAATATTGAACAAGTGTCAGCATGAATGATTGAGATGAAATTGATTACGAATTTTTGTTTTGGACAATAAATTGAGGATTAGTGAGTCGCATGAATGGAATTTTATCTTATCAGGTTGTTGATATCATGTTATATGCATCACGTTGGTAATAACCAAGTTTTATTTTAATTTGGTAATTAATGTCCTGAATCTTAAACAAAATCAAAATTTAAGTTACTTTTATGGCTAGATTTTCATACTTTTTGCAAAATATCTGAAAACAGGAAATCAACTTCACCGTTTCCGGTGTCCCGTCTGGCGGATACGTCCTCATCGACAAGATCATCATTGACATAGGAAACGACCAGCTTTCTCCGATTTCAATTGATACGGAGGCCGACATTGTACCGGAACATTGGCCCTACAACGATTGTATCCATGCTGATCAGTACACCGATTTTTCGGGGCTCGGATGTCCCCTCGTCCCGGAAGAGGATCAAGCTGGGGCTGGATACTGGTCCCCGTGTGATCAAAGTTCATGCAAAATTGAGCACGCAACCAGCCCGAGTATCCTTCCCTCCGCGGTTCATATCAAAGGCTATATTGCTGATGAAGGTCAAATCTTGGTCGCCATTGCTGAGACCGGAAATGGACGAAATGTTTCGCATACCGTGATTGACACGAAATCGGCCAGGCTCGGGGCATGGCTGGATTATAGCGTCGATTTGACCAGATATCGACATCATGTAAGAAAATTTTTGAAATTTGTTTACTTAAGAGGTTCCGTTACACACATTTGTAAAAAATGTGTTCGTATGTATGTTTCCTCAAAAATAGTCAAATCATGATTTATACATCCAACTTTGTATACCTTATTTTTTTAATTTTGATGAAATTTGTCAGAATAAGTATATTTTTAAGAAGGGAAATCCCTTAATGATATTATGACATCAGTCTGTCTGTCGGTTGGTTGGTTTGGTAACTCGTGAGCGAAACGATATTCATACCTGAAACGCGAAGCTTGAGTAGATTAAGGGCTAGAAATGACCAATGAAGGTCAAAAGGTCAAAGCGCTAGGTCACAGGAGTGATTTTCTTAAAGTGCATAATGCAACGACTCAAATCAATAGTATTTATAAAAAAACTGTCAAACTTAACAGGTAATTTTTGCCTTGGACATTTTGCTGACCGTGTGAGCTAGGTCAAAGGTCACAAATGTTGGAAATACTCTAGACATGTCCAAAACAAATAATGTGCTTCAGATTTTGACATGTGTGATTTCAGCCCTTGGTTACGTTCGGTGTGATGGTTTATTTCATATGCATACTTAAATTTTTCAGATACATAAATATCAATTTCTTAAAAAATGGAAAAATCGAATTTTTATATTGAGTTCTTTGGTATTTCAAAACTTCTATTTTCCAAATTTTATTAGAAATTCCAAATCATTCTTAAATCGAACGGAGGATCAGCCATGTTGGACTCGTTATCTTTCGTTTTTGACGATTTTGTTCAAGACCAACCAGAACCAAACGAGTTACCAGTGTGCGAACGGAAACCTGCCACGGAAGAACCAACTACGACCACAGAAACAGTCACGACCACAGAAGCAGTCACGACCACAGAAGCAGTCACGACCACAGAAGCAGTCACGACCACAGAAGCAGTCACGACCACAGAACCGGTCACGACCACAGAAGCAGTCACGACCACAGAAGCAGTCACGACCACAGAACCGGTCACGACCACAGAAGCAGTCACGACCACAGAAGCAGTCACGACCACAGAAGCAGTCACGACCACACAACCAATCACGACTACCGGACCAACTACAACCCCTGTCCCAATTACAACCCCGGTGCCAACTACTACTACACCAATTTCTACGACCACTGCGCCACCTACGACTACCGAACCAACTACTGTCACCACTCCACCAACCACGGTGACTACACCACCAACCACTACAAGTCCAACGACTGCTGTACCAACTACAACTACTAGACAAACTACTACGCCCGTAACAACTACCAGCCCCACTACCGAGCAGTCCACCACGGAGAGTAGCGCTCGCTTCCTTCTGTCCAGCATTTCTGTCTCGATCTTCTTGGTCGTAGTTGGACTAATTTGGTCCCAATGATTCAAATTTTATGTCAAATTTTGTCTAACTATTTAACAATTTTGGACAAAAAATAAATAATTTTGGGACAAATAAGTAATTTCTGCGTCAAATTTATTTCGCAATTAAATTTATTTATAATTGTTAATAAACACCATGTAAATACATAAATTATCAAATTTTATTACGAATATTTCCGATTTTACAATTTTTTCAAAATTTCAATTAACCCACGTTTCCAGCATACACACAAGTACTTGAAATATATGAACTAGTTTTTAGTTTTACCCTGGTCCAAATCCACATACCAAATCTGATCCGTGTCCAAATTCCTTAAATCATACCCACCAATGATATAAATCCGATTTAACCCGGGCACATAAACCGTACTGGTGGACGTAAGTTGGTCCGCGAGACCATTAACGGGGATAAATTCGGCCTCAACGGAGTCCAAATTAAATTTTATGATCCCATTTCCACGCGCCCCGTTATCCACGACGGCGCCCGCGATGTAGGCGAATTCACCGTCCCACGTGATAGATCCGTCGCCATGGCGAAATGAGGGGAACGTTGGCGTCGCCCGGGTCGTGGTGGCATTAATGGAGTGGTTGTGGACCATCAAGGATGGCGCCCAGGTTCCCATTAGGCCCGCGAAAAGGAAGGTGGATTCAAGTTCAGTGGCATAAACCCCGACGGAAAGTTCGGATGGGGCGGGCAGGGTGCCGAGGGGGCCCTGCACACCGGTTCGGATGTCGTACTCGTACACGGCGGTGGCATCGGTGAGACCGCCAAATGCGAAAATTTTGTTGTTCCAGGTTCTCACGAGGGTTACGGTGGAAGAGTCGCCACGCCATTCGCCGTGAGAGATAGTTTCGCCTAGAAGTTATCAAATATACATTTATTCTTTAATTTTTGATGAGAAATTTAAACGCTTGCCCGATTTTCCAAGTTTTTTTGTAAATGTACACAAAGGTGTTTGAAAACTATTAATTAAGATATGTAATTTGGTTCAACATTAAATCCTAAGAGAAGTGGAAGATACCATAGAAAATAAGTTTTGCAAAAAAATTATGTACAAGAAATTATAAACAAGAAATTTGAGATTAAATCGTGCAAAAAAGTTTAGACAAATGTCCTTAATTTTTTTTATAAAGTTAAAATCTGCCAATCTGTTACCCTGCCAGATAACCTCTCAGATTTTGTTACTCTATTTTTTTATTTTATTTTTTTAAATGATCCTTATCAAGTTCGGGAGGTCGGTCCCTTACACCCCTTACTCAGTCGCCTTGTACAAATCCAATTTTCTTTAATAAACAATAGGTATTAGACTAGACTAAATATTTTTGTAGCTTCTTTTAAGAAAACCTTTGACTTCTAAATTCTACTTGAAACATTTTATGGAATTTTAGAAAAATAAAATCTCCAAAATTTTATACATACCTGTGGATGGAGTATATTGCCACAAAAAAGTTCCATCTCCCCTTAGAAAATAAATATTTCCAGTCGGCGCATCAAACCAGGCGCCCCCTGACCACGAGGTCCTCGGCAGCTGACCAATCACGCTGATCGTATCCGACGTGATATTGTACGCATGGGTGTCCGCGTACGGAATTAAGGTGTCCGATGGGTCGTAAAACCATCCCCCAAAAATGTAAATCGTCTCAGCCCCATCGTACACAGAAGCGACGTCAGATCGTGGCGAAATTAATTTCGCCGTGCATTCCACGCCGGTAAGAACAGTTTGCGCGTGGGTGTGGCCGACCACGGCCAAAGTGACCACCAGAAGTAGAAAGTTGGCAAATTGAGACATGGCAGACCAAGAAAAATAAGAGAAGGAGACGATAAGATGATGGCTTATGGAATGATTGAGACAATGAAAAAACGTGCTGGCCCAGGTTGACGTAGGTTGGATTGGATGTCAGTTATGTAATTCGAGATAACATATCGATAAGGATTAATCGATTAAATTAGTTAGTCAGGTGAATTAATTCAATTACTTATTAAATTTAAGTTGTGTTACTCTCAAACCCCTCGTTTCACAGAGGTCTTTTTGGTTCCATTTTGGCCATGTGCAAATGATCATACAGTGGGGAAAATTATGCTTCGTTTCGAGATTTTTCGGAAAACATGGCTAGTATTTAAATATATAGTTGATAGAAATGTTTACAAAATTATGTTGTCATATGAACATTTAGCATCGTAATGAATGCCTCAATAATTTGCAAATTTTCTCATAAAATTAGAAATGTTTTTGGCAATATGTATGTATTTATGTAAATGCTAGAATCCGCTATTTTCTATTTTTGCGTACATAAAAAGCTAATATTTTCACCAAGATAATAACTTCAGTTACTTTAATTACAGTTGAGTATCATTTAAAATCTATTTCTTCTGCAGTAAATACATTTGCATGCATGCTTACGAGAACGCAGATGAAGATGCGAGTTGCTACTTTGACAAGTTGATACTTTGAAGTTTAATAAATGCGCAACGAAAGTGCGATCTCGTGTCGGGGTGAAAGTTTGCGTGATGATCTCTAATTTTGCAAAAATTGACACTCATTTGGGAACTTGTCACGCATATCTCATGGTGAAAGTAGTTTGCATGTTTAGCCTCAGTCTTTACATATGTAATTAGAATATCCCCACACATTTGTAATAATTCAGGCGTCAACTCTTTTCCTCTAATAAACTATTTGTCTCCTCTCTCTGCCAACAACTCAACAGCACTTTTAAAAATCTGGGGGTATTGACTTCCCCGTATTATGCCCTGGCTACATTACCGTCATAATATTCTAGAGTTTACTGGTAATATGGGAAAATGCATAAGGCCAGCTACATGTGTAACTTGCAACCAGTTCAGAGTTTACTCTAGAGTTTTACTAGTAAAATTTCACTAGTAAAACTCTAGAGTTCAGAGTTTTACTACGAACTCCAGCTATACTAATATGTTACTTCAGCGCTAAACATTGAAATTTTAAGCGGGATTTCCAATTTAATGACGAGAGTCCACTTATTTTTCCAAACATTAATTCTTCGTCTTCATTTAATTTATAAGAACATTTAAATCAATGGAGTCGCAAGTAAATATTGAAGTTGTTGATAAAAAAGCAAATCATTTTTCGCAAGACGAGAACCTCTCATTAATACGGATTTGGGGATCGCCTGAAAATCAGGCCCTTTTCAGCGCCAGTAGTAGACGCCACACAAAGATTTGGCACGACATTGCAGTTCACCTATTCGAGACAGGGAGTCGCGAGGACGGAACTCACTCATTCCCTCAACGGACCTTGACGGAGGTCAAAAATAAAATTAACAATGTCAAAAGGGCATACACCAAGCAAATAAGTGCAATCAAATCCGGTAAATTCTATTTGAGACTTCTTAAATACCTTAAATTATTTCTACACTTGTAAGTTTAATTAATGCTATTCAATAAAAATTTGTTTTTATAGGAGCTGAACGCCCTAAAGACGACCCCATTTTTGATGCACTTGATTGTATTTTGGGATTTCGACCGGTGACAAGCAGTGAATTCGTGCAAGACTCACTGGACGAAAGTACCACCGAGCGTGAAGAAATTTCGCAGGCCGACACAAATGGTAGGTGTGATGCAACTTTGGCGACATGGTATCTTTGTCCTTAACAAATGTGTTACAGGGGAAGGAGAACAAGGAGGTGACTCAGGAGTCGAAAGTTCTCGGGAAATGGCTGCAAATCCAGTTACTCCAAAATCGTCGGAATCATCAAAAAAGTAATAGATATTTATATGTAAATTATTGCTAAAAGTACATATTAACAAGGTTTTCTATATCCTAAAATTGTCAGACGAATGCGGACATGGGCAAATAAAGAGGAACTGGAGACAGAAATTGGTCAAAATCCAAGAGGACGCACTCCAGTTAGCCACGGAGCGCCACGGTCAGGAACAAACGATGCTACAGGCCATGACGAAATTCTTTGACAGTGGAGCGACATATTTTGAAACTCAGACACGAAAATTAAATGAAAATTGAAAGCCATGAAAATTGATATTCATGAAAAATGAAAGAGAACAAATAAACATGTGCTAAATATGATAAAGTTTTATGTTCGCATTTATTTTTCTGCTATAATATGATTAACAAATTGTAAATACAGTTGAAAACAACAACTCTTTATTCGCTATTTAATTAGTAATTAAAGGGCCACAGATTTTCATTCATTGGCAAAAGAGCGTGCCATATGGTCAAGTTTTTCTTTTGCGGATGTAGATCCAGAATTATGTGGGCGGGCCAGTGGTTGCTCGAAAATAGGCACAGATCCGATATCGTCATCATCTTCCCAGTTTTCAACAAAAAATCCATCCATCGTTTCGCAGATGTTGTGAAGAATGACGCAGGTATTGACAATGTCGATAGCGACTGGAACGGAATTGTCCATACGACGAAGTAGTATCCTCCAGCGTCCTGAAGTCGATAATGTAAATTATTTTGTTACTAATTCATAGGTACACATGTGGGTAAAATACCTTTCAGTCGTCCAAACGCATTCTTAATTACCATTCTTGCTCGTGAGAGACGGAAATTGAATTCTTTCTGATAAGCTGGGGTATTCTCATTGTCGAGATATGGCTTCAACAACCAGTCCTTGAGTGGAAAAGCAGCATCCGAAATGAGGTGCCAAGAATTACCCCCCAACAAAGTCCCATTTGATAACCTCTCGTGCAGTTTTGTCCTCGCGAAAAAAGTAGAATCGGAGTTTCGTCCAGCTTGCCCCACATTTGCATACCTACGCAAATTACGTGCATCGTATTACAAGCAAAATATTAACAAGAATTAAAGCAAAATATGGCCTTCTAACTTCTATACTCACCAAAACTTGTACTTATGGTCGGCGACCGCCATAAGTACGATGGAGAAATACTTTTTGTAATTATAGTAATCGGTGCCACATTCCGCTGGTCGCAATATTGGTATGTGTGAACCATCTAGTGCCCCAATACAGTTCGGAAAATCCCAAAGTTGTTCGAAGCCATTAACGATGTTGTTGAGATCGTCCAGAGTCGGGGGCTTCAAAAATTTTGGGCGAAGAAGCTTGTTGACGGCCTGACAGAATTCTTTAAGCACTTTCTTTGCCGTGCTTTCTCCAATCCCATACAGGTCCGCCACGGTCGCGGGATCACAGGTGGACTTCAGAAGATGTAAAGCTACTGCCACTCGTTTTTCCAAAGGCACCGCGTTCCTAAATACGGTGTCCTTCCGTGCAAGAGCTGGTTTAAGCTCACAGCAAATAAACTCGAAGGTAGCTCGAGACATGCGGAATTTCCTTAGGAATCGCTCGTCACTATAGTTCGACCAAACATCTTGAAAATACGTAAGCGAAACTCGATAAGCCCAGCAAGACCTTCTTTTTTTACTTTTCCAGAGTTTCGCACTCTCAACAGGGTCTTCACTTGATGGAAAGGAAAGGGTGATAATATAGTCGGTCCTGGACGTCTAATGAAATTCCAAGTATGAAAAATTGATGAGCTAATTATTGTTAAATCCATGTCGAAAGTTGGGCAACTCTTTCTCGACACTTTTATTTTAAACTAAATTATTATTTTTTAGATGGTAAATTTTTAAAAGTCCCACCTCTGAGAAGTAACTCTGAGATTTGGTACCCTGAAAATTACAACGGTACAAAATGCAATGTAGCTGGAGTTTTCATTTCAGCGTTAAACTCTAGAGTTAACTCTGAAAAATTTACGACAGTAGTGTAGCCAGGGCATTATAGTTGCTACCGCATGGTATTAAGTAATATTATGTGAGGATTTCTACTCATTTTCGCTCAAATTCATTTCATTTCACTTCATCTTGTTTCATTTCTTATTTCGTCCCCTGTACATATATGTATAGGGTGAAAAATAAAAGGAGTGATAAATCCTGCATTCACAGTCGCTCAACTGACTTTCGCTCATTTTCATTCAAATCACAGGAAATTCATTTTCATGCACTATCATTCTCTGTCATAATCAGTCACATGAATCAAAGTAAACAGGTATGGTTACGATTCACACTAAAAAGTAAATGTATGCGACTCTACCGCCGTTTTTATAAATTTGTCATCGAATGGTTACAATTGTCACGGACTAATTCACCGACTTGGTATTAAATTGTCACCAGAGCTAATAAATTTATAACCAGTTCGTGAAAAATTCATAACTATAACTAACCCTATTTCTAAGAGTGTATATACTTATTACAGATCCTGGTTAATGTTTCAAGCTTGATCTCCTTCGCTGCCGTATTCGCCAGGTAGTTACATACATACAAACAAGAATACATCGCAATTTCTGGGTGGGGTCGATATGACTCCAACTGTACTTCATTCTTAAGTAAAACCAAGTATTTATCATGAACTAGGCTTGTCCACTGTACATATGTACGTACGTGTGGGCATATATAAGAACTCAACAAACCTAGCATTATTAAGTTGGGTTATAAAAGGTGTTGATTTAATTCGTGATCATGTCAATGTTTGAAATTTTTTAACACGAAAACGGAGAAAATTTGGAGGTATTTTTTTTATTAGAGACACCATGCTAATTAGTCTTCTGGCCTTTTATGTTAACCATGCCCTCAATTCTTTTCACTTTGTGCTAATTTTCTTAAATTTATGTCGGCTTCAAAAATAATCGGAACAAATTAAATCAACACCGTTTACATAGTTCTAATTGTTGTTTTACATACATGCTAGACCTTATTGATCTGTTACTTTCATCACGGGGATCTACTCTCATTAAGTATCTACATAGTTACACGCTTTCATTTCACTGATAAAACATTTTTACTCTCCAAACTTCCGAATATTTTTAAACTTTGTTTAATTAAAATCCAACATAAGGATTGATATGTGCTACGGAAGCTCGTCGTCCTTCGGTTCGTTTACAATGTTTTTTTTCTTTCATGAGAAAATATTAATTTTTTATCTATTTTGTTTCCATTTTCTCATAGAAGAAAGAAATTTTAAACTCTAACTTTGCAAACTTCAAAATTATTGATTTTTAGATGCATTAAAATAATTTTTCATTTTTTTAAACACATGTTTGAAAATAGCATATGAATTGAAGCTGAGAACATTGAGACACAAAAATTTAAATTCAAAACCCGCATGCTATGCACCCTCAGTACATATACAATGTATTTACTTAGACGGATACTTGTTGTGCAATTAATTCTAAAAGGAACCATGTATTTTAACTTGGCTCATTTTTAAATTAGGAAGCGCATGCACGTATCACTTTTCAAAATTAAGAACCGCATGCCGCTATGCAGATCCTTTTAGGATTATATATGTAAATACGATACCCATGTATTTATTCAAGTGTGGTTCAAAAGTGTGGAATTTTTGGGAACTTAATCCAATCTGTGTTTTTTTTAAATAGACCATTTATGCCATCCGGTTGAGCTTATTTCTCTTCGATACTTACAACGTCTCCATAGAAACCGAGGAGCCTCAATACTATGGTCCGATAACGAATCAAAGTACGAGAATCCCTGAAATTTATATGGATGGTTTCTTAAATATTTCTATCTTTTTTTATATTTTATTTGTAGCCCCTAAGTTGGTCCTGTGTTCGATTGATGTCGGAATTTGGGTGACTCATCTTATCGCGGCAGTTATACTGATATTTGGTGTAATTAAGGTAAAAATATGTAAAGGGTGGTCGGAAAAAAGAGGAACAAATTTTCTACAAAAAAATAGCTAATTTACCTACAACACTTTAAAAAACTGTAGAGCATACTTGACAGCTGTATTGATTTGCTAGTAATTGTCTACCCACTTGCTAGTTGTTTATTTCTGAATGGTAGCTTATTTTTATTACCGTAAATTTACTAAATGGTATGCTCTTTATTAATGTACCGGTTTAGTCATATACTCTCCATCCACGCAGGATTGAACTTTTACAGAAATTGGGAATTCTGAAAAACTATATACGCTACTGCCAGTCTCAAAGTTCCCCGTCAGCATTATTTGAGGGAATTTGAGACTGAAAGTTCCGTAGTTTCACGGAATTTGCAATTTTTATAAAAGTTCAATCCTACGTGGATGGAGAGTAAGTACATACACATGTACATACTCCGGTCAGTAATAATTTATTACCAGATTCCTGAGAGTATTGGAATACGAGATTCAATGATTGGTTTCCCATTATTTAGCAAAACCGGACCCTCTGCGTAATCTGGGTAGGGGCAAACTGCATCAGTTTCTTTGTCTGGGTAGGGGTGAAGATTGGGAATCGTGCTGCTGGAGTATCAACAGGGATAGCCCTCCTCCCATTGATTTCCTTTGTTGCATTCTTCTTCTACTCATTTTACATTGTGGTTTCCTACATTGAAGAGTTAAGAAACCCTGGAGAATCTACAGGAGGAAATGTGGCAAATGAGGAAGCTTCACAGGGAACCGTGTTGGATGCTTGAATTTAAAAGCTTTACGTTGTTAAACTTATTGATCTTATTTAAAAATTTGCAACTTAAAAAAATTATGTGAATTTATTCTGTCTCCTTTACAGCAAGTAGTTAGTTTAAACAGATGGGAATAAAATCATTAACAATTTAGCTGTATATCACTGTCTATAAGACATAAAGGAACGTAATCATTGCTTCGAAATATGTAATTCACACTAAAAAAATATTGTTCTGCATGCAAATGTCAAGATATTAGTTTTGCATGTATGGGTTACTCCACGAGAAATGGTAATGGACCTAATGTCTAAAATCGATTTTTTTGAAATCCTTCAAGTATGTGTTAGAGGACCTTAAAATATGCAGAAAAATCAGTTTCCCCGAATTTTTGAAGTTTCAATAGGGCTGATAGGAGGGGGTGTGCCTTCCGTTGAGATACCACCTTTACGCAGCCGCTATTTCACGCAGGAACTCAAAATTTCACATGTGGGTACCATGGGCCAATACAATTGCGGGTCCTTTTCTCTTTTTTTGAAATTAGGTCACGATGACCGTTTTTAGGTCAAAATGTGCATAATATCTAATTTTTTGTAAATCGCCTTTTTGTACATAGCCCCGTAAATGTGGCATCATTAGAAAGGTCTTGGCAAGAGGATTCAGAATATATATACTTGAATGCATGAATGAATGAATGAAAGTTTTATTTAACTCTTCTTGGCAAGCCCATAGAGATACATTTGTTAGATTATATTAAATTAATAATAAATATAACTAATTAACTAATTATATTGAAATAATTTTTAAGTCGTTCCATATTAAATTAAATTCAAATTGAGTTCCATATTGAATTATTGAGTTGGAGTATTGACAGAGAAAAAGAGAAAGAAAGAAAAAGAGAAAGGTATTACTTAATTACGTAGAATGGTAGTTTTTCGTCCTTAACTAAGATATCCTAAATTAACCTAAGTTTAAATTCAAGCACATAATTTTGATTATTGATTCTTATTATTTAATTTTAATTTTAAATATTCAAAAAATATAATTTTTAAAAATATTCAAAAAATATAATTTTTAAAAATATTCCAAATATCTCAAAAAATAACATTTTTTGTAAAATACTTAAAAAATCTTCAAAAACATAATTTTTAAAACTATTTTATAAAATAAGGAAAGCGATTCAAATAACATAATTTTACTAGAATATATATTTATAAACTATGAAAAGCGACTCAAATAACCTAATTTTACTAATATATATATTTTACCAATATTTTCGCTTAATTTTACTGATTTGATTCACTACTAGTGCCACTAGTCTAATCAGGCCCTATCCTCCATGAGGATGTTCTCCTCCTTCCTTGCCTCCTTCAGGCCCCTTGCTAATTTCCTGTAAGCTTTACATACCCATGTGCAACATGCACCAATGATTGCCATTCCCATCATTAGACCTCCTGCTAAGCTCAGTGTAAGGCCCATATTGTAATCCCCCTGTGGCGATTGTTGTGGATGGGTGGATGTGTGGACAGGTGGTGAATATATGACAAGTTCCTTTCTCTCTTTTCCTGCATCAAGGCTTGCATCCACTCCTGCTACTACAGCCCCCGTCAGTAAAATTTCTCCTCCTTTTTTCCAAATAGTTTTCCACAACTTCCCCCATGTGATGCCTGCCTTCGCTACCGGTGCTCCATTTATCATTTCAGCACCACAAATGATGACCAGAATCATGCATGCGATTTCTTTTCTCTGCATCTGAGATGAAAGATAAATATAAGTCTAAGAGTTCTATGAGTTCTAGCCACGAATTAATCATTCAGAGAAGTTGTACTTGTACGTCGTTTCTTTATGGATGCAATAATATATGTTACCTT